AGAAATCTTAGTCTACCTACTGATCTAGCTCATAGTTTCTGCTTGAAATACAAGCTTCTCTCCTGAATGCCTCATTTTGGTTTTGAAAGATGCTTATTTCACATGTAGTTTACCACCTGTGTTTCAGGGGGTGGGTGGAGGAAGGATCTATGAAAGGCCATGGTAGAGACGTCTGTATGGTTTCCATTATGTCTCTTAGCTAGCCCTTGAAACTGTTAGACAAAGTATTACAGCTGTGATGAGTAAACCTTTTGTCTAAATAAATTGCTGCGGCTAGTTGTGCTTCTCTGGAAAATTCCGGTTAGGAGAGTAGGAAATATTGATGCTTTGTGTCTCTTAAAAGAAAGAAAATATTTTCCTGATGACCTTTTAAAGGAGTTGGGTGAAGAGTCCCTTTGGTACAATGTCCAAAATGCAAAGCAAGTATCTAGATACCTTACTGGTTGCCTCATCTCTGTCACTTCTTTCCCATATAATTTTTCATTCAGTCATGACTTGGCTAGGCTTTTGGAGAAATGGGGAAACAGAAACAGGAGCCTCATCTGGCTATCAATGTTCTGTGCCTCTGTTGACATAGACTTGGATTGCCTGATTGGGTATTAGATACAAGTTCAAATTACTAATTTTATTGGACATATGGTTAAGTTTGCTTACAATCAGTTGTTTGAGATTGTCTCATAGGAATCTGGAGGTATATTGAGATACTGTAAATGTTTCCTGAAATGCAAATAATGGTGCCGTGCATAATTCCATGTCAAAATGGGGTAGTTCCATGCTACAGTCTTAGGATAGAAACAACAGACCTTATTCCCGAATGATCAATCATACCTGTATGGAAAATGGGGAGAATATGTCACAATTGGCCCACTTAGATATAATTGCAGCTTTTCAGGAACCTTATGCTTGTACTCCATAATACTCTGTTTCTGTGTCAAGTAGATAAAAGTAAAGCAGAGATACAGAAGCCCTGAAAGGAAAAATCTACTGATTTGATGAAGAACAGGTGCTCTTTTCTGGAAATTTTTGTTTCAGCTTATTGGAGAGTGGTTCTAGCTCATTCTTTTATCTGATGATCAGCATAATTTGAATACAAAAAAGCTGATACAGGGCAGAAACTTTGTAAGTGATGAGAGGATATTTCAGTGGTAAAGCTGGGCTCATGGGAGTGGAAAGGAAGGGTCTGCTCTGTGCTTGAGTAGCAACTCATTCAGCATACCTGTTTTGGGGTTGGGGTTTTTTTGGGGTTGGTTTGTTTTGGAAGTGGGTGTAACTGGTTGCTTGTTTTGTGTGGCTTTCTCTCTGAAAATGTGAGCTCTTGCATGTCACCCCTTAATTGCTACCTATGGTCATTGTTCCCTATGAGAGCGAAGGAACCAAAACAGTTTAAAAGCTGGTAGTGTGGGCTGTGCTTATACTTTGTGAGTCATTTCCCTGTTCCCAGCGTCAGGTTGGTATATATGGACCTACAACCACCCTCCTTACGGCTCATCCCATACAGAGCAAGTTGTACTTCAGTTCCTCAGTAGGGATGGTATCTAGTGGGAGCTGTGAGGTAGGTTAAGTAGAAAGATTGAATGGCAGGCTGTTCTTCATAAAATGCATGTTCCAGTATTTAAAAGCTGGTTACAAAGAAGATGGAAACTCCCTTTTTACAAGGAATCACATGGAAAAGACGAAGGGTAACGGGTACAAGTTACTTCTGGGGAGATTTTGATTGGACATAAGTGGAAGATTTTTCACAATGAGAACAATCAGCCATTGCAATAATCTCCCCAGGGAAGTGGTGGATTCCCTAACACTGGACACTTAGGTGCTGGGCCATCTTGTCTAGACTGTGCTTTTGCCAAGGAAGCTTGGACCAGATGATCCCCGAGGTCCCTTCCAACCTGGTATTCTATGATTCTAGGAACTGACCTGGGTCTAGGACAGCTCAGGGAATGCTGTCATTGAAGCCTAGTCCATGGGGCAACGTCGCTTTTTAAAAGTTTTAAGAATTCATATTTCCTATAGTCCTCGAAGATGAGGAGAAAGCAGCTTCACAATACCGTGTATTTTACTTGTTTTACACTTGGACATCCTCTGCTTTGTGGGCAGAGGGGCGTGTGGGGGTGCCTAGTAGGGCAGAATAGTGCTGTATGATGATGCTTGATGGAGGGTGTGAGAAACCTAGCATGCTCTTGCCGGTTGAAGCAAACCCAGGAACAATCTAACCACAAAAGCACTCCTGGGGTTTGTCTAGGGAAGGAATCTGTAGTTCCGCTCTTGTAAGCAACCCTGGCAGTGCTCCAGCATGTGGGCAGTGCCAAAGGTGGAGGAAACTGGACCCCTGAGTGATGGGAGGCAAGCCACACTAATGGCGTTAACATCTTCGCTGGAAACAGCAACAGCTTATAAAAGAGCAGCAAGTACCAGACATCCACTATTAAGATGACCTGACAAGAAGGGAGCCAACATAGAATCATAGAATCTTTGGGTTGGAAGGGACCTTTGAAGGTCATGTAGTCCACCCCCCACTTCAATGAGCAGGGACATCTTCAACTAGATCAGGTTGCTCAGAGCCCCGTCCAGCCTGACCTGGAATGTTGCCAGGGATGGGGCATCTACCACCTCTCTGGGCAACCTGGGCCAGTGGTTCACCACCCTCATTGTGAAAAACATCTTCCTTAGATCTAGTCTAAATCTGCTTTTAGTTTAAAACCATTGCCCCTTGTGCTATCGCAACAGGCCCTAAGATAGCGAAGGGAGAAGGAAGAGCAGCAAGCTGCCCTAAGGGCTGGGAGACATGTGGCCCACCCTGCCCTAAAGGAAACAAAAGGGAGAAGAAAAGGCATGCCCCTACCAGCCTCACTTGGCAGCCCAGGAGGGGTGCTGCTTTGGTTCTCTCGCTGCCTCTGTTGAGTAATTGCCACTGCTGGGTGGGAAAAACTTATGGACAGTAAGGACCATGAGTCACTGAGGGAGATGAGGAAAATCTCCTGATCACTGGAGACAACAAACTGGACAGTGGTGTGATCAGAGTGGCTTAGGGACGACTGATCCTGCCTTGGGGGACAAAATCTAGATCACAGAATGCCAACACTTTCAAGGTTACGGTATTATTTTTTAAAATTTCCTAAAATAGAGCAGAAATTTGAGAATTGGGAGATGCTACCTCCCAGTGAGGCGAGATGCTGACAAACTTGTCAGCTGGTATTAGGTGTTTCTTTAAGCCAGGAGCTCTCACGGGTCGCTCTCTAAAGATGGCATGGCTTACAGTTCTGAAGCAGGTAGGTCATAAATGTGTCCATGTGCATGTCCTCTAGCATGTCGTAGGCTCTGACTAGCATCTGTCAAACAGTTACACCACACTGATGCTCTTTGAAGTTGCA